GAAGTGCTGCTGTCGCGGACCAGTTCGTACCTTCTCCACATAGGTCGGCTGCCATGTTGACCTCTCATGTGCAGCTGACCTGTTGGTCTTGATGATTTCCCTCGCCTTGTCAATGATCTCAGCAAAGGTTGAGTACTGCTCGCGATCACCAAGAGCCTGGATCAATGCCGCACAGGACCTGTTGTAGAACTCGCGGCGTAGATGCGTGAATGCCAATTCGAGATTGGGCACCGCCGCAATCTTCTGCCACTCCGTGAGCCAATCCCGTGTTGTAGTGTTGCCCTGTGACATGGTGAACAWACGGTTGATGGCGAGTGTCGGCGCGTCGTCGACGATGAACCGCTTCTTCCACAGCCGTGTCAGTTCCTCCCATGTGATTTTGTCCTTCAAGTCCGGTACGTCAACACCGTGAGAGGTTGGCAGGTGGCTCAACCAGGTCTGGCATCCACCCTTTGAGTTCAGGAACATGGCGCCGATGTACGCATGCTTGGCTACGGGCAGAATCATGAGTTGCGTTGTGAATGCTTCCCACCAGAGGACCGGATCCTGCTGCGTGTAGTCGTCGAACTTGTCCAGTTGGAAAGTTGGCATCTTGTACATCTTCGGATTGTCATCCGCGTTCGTCGACTGCAACTCCTGGACCTCGGTCTTCAAGGTATGCAGCTGACTGCTGATGGTGGTCGGCGCAGCGAAGGTGCTGATGTCGCCGGGCATTTCCACTACGTGGTCAACGCGTTCCTCCAATTGGCGGTTAGAGGATGCACTGCTGGAAGCCCCAGCAACTGGTCCTAGTACAGCCTGTTCCAGGTCCAGCAATCGGGCATTGAGTGCTCGAGTTGCATCCTCGTGGCTCTGCACTGTATGGCGGAGCTTTGCCAACTCCTGATGTTGTTGCGTCAGGTTCTGGTACTGCTTCTCCAACTCGGACCGTTGGTAGTTGCAAGCACACAACAACCGTGTCACGAGTTTGGAGAGGAACTCCCTATGCTTCTCTTCCGGTGTTGCCTCGTCGCTGTTCGGTTCAAAGTGCCAAAACTTGAGTCTCTCGATGTTGTTGGCTTCATGCCGCAGCAGCAGATCCTGGGCTTCCTTGCGGCGAGCCTGGGCATCTGCGTCTGCTTCGGCCTGTAGCCGCAGCTTCTCTGCTGTCGCCGCTTCTTCGGCCTGTAGCTGGGCAGCCTTGGCTGCAAGCTGGCATTGTTCCTCATCCTCGATTGCAACGAGCCGAGCCTGGAAGCGCGTTTTGTAGTCGGCAATGGGCTCATTGGCCAGTTGGCCTGGCAGGCCCGTCATGTTGCTGATGTGGCACTGCTTACGTGGCACTGTGTCTGACGTGGCACTGCTGACATGGCACTGCTTACGTGGCACTGCTTACGTGGCACTGTGTGTGACATGGC